ATTTTAATGGTAAACTACAGCTAATTGTGAGCAGAATCTCAACAATAAATGTGCCAATAGCAATGGGAAATTTCAGTACTTTAAAATTAGAATCTGAAACAAGTGAAAAAAATTGTGGCCACACATGGCACTGGTGTTGTGAATGCAAAGGAAAATACCTTGCTAATTTCTTGTAATAATCTTGATAGTCAAATAAACTTAATTGGAAGAAGTCTGTTCTCAGAAAAAGAAGCTCAAAATCTCCTCACTTTTCTTCCTTCCCGGAATAGCAAATCAACTTGATTTGCCATTAATCACCAAAGAAAATGAATAATTATGGAGGATGTGAAAATAAACAAAAATTTTAGGTTATTGTGCCCAACCATGCTCCTACTCCAAGGAATCTTTTAGAATGAAATTAAATCACTTTTAAAACAATGATGGAAAACGAAGGAAATAGGACCTGAAACTGGAACGTTCAGCCGTCATGCATTTATCCCAGGTTTGTGTGAAAAACAGATTATTTCCTATAATCAGAGAAGATTTGATATTGGGTGAAGCAATTAAGAAACAAATGTCAGGAAAGCTATGAAGAAAGCTAAGAAAGGGAAAAAGATTTAATACAATGCCTATTCCACAAGACTTGAAAACTAGAGTAACTGGGGAAAAAAAGCAAAAGGCCAAGGAAGTCTTTATTCAAGACTAAAGAACTAAAATGATGCAATGAATAGCAAAGTAAAGCAAAGTGAATGAAAAATGTGGTGTGTATGGTTGTTTGATTTTGAGGGGTTTTTGTGGGGGGGAGGAGGAAACCTAAACAGTGTTTTTTTTGTTCAAGAAGCTAAATCTGTAGACTTGATGTTTTTCTTTTCTTTTTTTTAAGTGAAGACTGTTTACCAAATTTTTGAATTGAGGTTTTCCTCACTTGGCAAAAGGTTGGTTAATGAATGTAGAAATAGGTTTACCCAACTTGAAAACCAGTTGAGAGACAGAAAGATCATCTTAGTGCTTGAAACAACAAATGACCAAAAGATTCTCCTGACATTCCAGAGATCCTTTCTTTAGTAACATTCAGAAGTCACATAAAGAAGATATTCTGAAAGCCATTAAAGCTTCTAGGATAGATGAAATGTCAGCCATAGTGGGTTATGATGGAATTGGAACTGGTAACAAGATCATCAGAGCAAGATTTATTTCATAGCCAAGACATTTAAAATATGATATGAATGCTGGAAAAAGTTAAAGGGAAATCCCTTGTTTAAACTTGCAAGGAAAGGGAATATTTTTTCAGTGTAAGAATGAAATCTTTCATATGCCTTTCTGTACCAAGCTAGCTATACATCAAGAATATGGTTGGAGAAGATCTAAAACCACTTGATTCCCAATTTATAGACACATAGGTTGGCTGCAAGAAAGAAAGATTGTGTGTGCATCATTACGATGTTGATAGTGAATATTGAATTTAAAAGTGACTGCCGCTTTAAACTACGTATGAACTTGTAGACTATAAAAGCATATGTTAGTGTGGACTAAGATGTCTTCTAGAAACTAATGGAGTATTATGAAATTCCTGATTAGAAGCTTTTTACAGTCGATTTGGCTACAAGTTCATCATACTTGTTCTTGGAGTTGAGCAAAGTAAAGGCTTACGGATACCTTGTTATCCTTGTCTTCAAGTTCAGTGGCAGGCCAGAGCCACCTGGCTTGGACTGAAGGCAGTCAGTACTCCTAACCTAGATGTTGCAGTTGCCTCTCTCCCCCGGCCAGAGTGCAAAGGTTTGCTGGTGCAGGCCATATGTTGCCACCCCATGTTTTAGTTCATTGTCTTTTTATTTCTAGTTCATTTTAACTTCATCCAGTGTACATATTGACACATCTAGAAAACCTGAACTTTGCACACATCAACTTAATGACCCCAAAACATGAATAAGAAGTGCTGATAGGAATAGGAACTAAAAAAGATCTAGATAAAATAAGTGTGAAGAAAGAATAAATGAAATGCCAGGCCATGCAAAAAGGTAAATGGCATGCACAGTGAAAAGATGGAAAACTAACATGGTAGCAAGCCATTCCAGTGATCTGGAGGAAGATATCTATGCTAGACCTGGGATAACACAAGAAGCCCAGTTTGAAAGTCACTGCTCCTGTGCCTTTCTAGATGGGGCAGGATATAAATCTAAATACTGTTATTGTTAAAAACAAATTAAATTAAGAACCAAGCTTTAGTGTTTGAACATACCATATAGGGAAATCCGTAGAGAAATACGATCATGAAAACACGTCATGTATCCATAAATTGATTCTTACATCAAATTAAGGACATAAGAATACAAGTAAGTAGTTATAAGGAAAAAGAACTTAATAAATATTATGCTTAATAAAAAGTGGTGGGGAGGGAGGCAGAAGGGAATAACAGCATACTGGCTTACATGGATAGGAATGTTGCTTTTAAATTGAGGGAAGTGATTCTTCTGCTCTATTCAGCACTGGAGAGGCCTCGCCTGGAGTACAGTTTTGGGCCTTACTTAAAAGATAAATGTTGATTTTAGCTTGGAAAGAGTCCAGTGCAGAGTGACAAAATGCATTACAGGGGCATAGGAAGCAAGACTGAAAAGGAAAGGCTGGAAGGTTTAGGTTATTTCATTTGGAGAAGAGAAGACTGAGGGGGCATTTGATAAATCTTCACATGCCTGAGGGACTATTAGAGAGGATTGAGATACTCCTGTCCCTTGCAGCCACAGAGAGAAGCCTGGGAGCAATGGCCTCAACCTTCAGCAGGAGAAGCTTAGGCTGGAGACCGGGAGGAACTTTCTGACTTTGAGGTTGGCCAAGCATTGTAACAGGCTACCTAGAGAAACTGTGGTATCTCTATCCTTGAAAGTAGAGCAGACTGGGCAGACATTTGGCTGGGATAGTTTAGTCAGAGATGATCCTCACTTGAGGTCCCTTTCAACCCTGCTTTCCTATGATCCTATGAAGAGAAGCTAGATTTTTTTTTCCTATTTACCAGGACCGGACAATATTGTCCCCTTGCTAATCACTCCTCTACATCAATCTTCCAAGCAAATTCTGTTTGTTATTGAGGAGAGTATTGAAGTAGAAAGTTTTTTGGCAATAGAGTTCTTATGTCTCTAAAATTGGTACAATCGTGCTATGTAGATAGATACAGTTTATATCCGTGAAGGGAGTTAATTGCCAGGTGTAAACTGTATCACTGCTAAAGGTCTTTGTCTAGCCATGATTTTAATTACTCAGCCCACTGTTTTCTTTGTTCTTTCCCCAGTAATGTCCATAGCCACTAAGGAAAAGGGAAGGTGGGGTCCCAGTTTTAGTTCATAGTAATATTTTCGTCTTTCATCTTGTTCTCCCCCTACTCTGTTTGGAATTCCTTTTCTCCAGTTTATTCATTGCTTAGTAGGAAATGAAAATAGCATCCTGTAATAACACAAACAGCTGTTTAGAATGGGGTATTGTAAGCATTATATAATCTATAGCCTTTTTCAGGACGCTTTTTGATTTCTCCTGAAAGGAGAGGAGCCCTAAATTTCTAGAGTTTTAGATGATTCACCGAGACATGTTAGATTTTTTTTTTCCTTCTATCCCTCCAAGTGTGTTTTGAAGGTTTCCAGTATTGAAGAGCTATAGTTGCATTAAGGGTATGGGCAAATGTACCTTTGGAGCAGTTCCAAAGTGGAATGCTGCCAAAGGGCAGTAGCTATCAAGTTCTAATTAATATTTTTGGGCAAGCTAGAAACCATGTAAACATAGGGTTAAAGCTGAAGCTGTTTTGCTGGGTTAGAGCTGTTTTGCTAGGTTTGTGTTGTTCCCAGCTTGTCCACAAGTAACAAATATAGTCAGACAGCTTCAACTTTTAACCTTGGATGAAGCAAGGTTAAAGCTGGAGCAGGTTTGCTACATTTGTATCATTCCCAGTTTGTCCACAAGTAACCTTTTAAAATGCAACAGCCTCTGCTCTCTTAAAACAGCTCCAATTGTGTGTGTCCACACGGTGAGAAGTGTGTAATCTTTATTGGACTAGTCTAACTGCTTGAAGTCTCGGAGTCAGTCTTAGTCAGGCAAATGTGTTATGTAACATTTTGTTTCAAAAAATTATAATGTTTAAGTTAAATACAGAATAAATAACACTGACAAATTAAGACTTAAATACTGGTTATTGTGTGGGGACTGATCCTTAGCTCATTCCATGGCATCTTTAGCGTTAAATTGACTATTATCTGGGTACATTAGCTTTTACATGGGAGTTTCCTGTTGTTTTCTAGTATTTTGTTACATTAACTGGTTGTATTTGATATATTATTCTGTCACCCTTTGTAGAAGCTTGATATGTAACACGTACATTTTCTTTGTCACACATCTCTAAGTGATGTGTTTAAATAGCCTGGGCAACAGATGGTTTGCCTGACAGCATGAAGTAGTCACTGAAACTGCAAAATCCACTGTACTTGGAGAGAATTCAACACATTTGCTATATCTCCTACCTTTTTAAAATATTTTACTTTATTACAGCTATTGAAAAAAAAAAAAACCAAAAAACCGCCGAACTCCAGTCATCTTTTTAAAACAGCCTTAATACTCCATTTTGGGCTGGATGCATTTTGAAATGTATTGCTTTTTTAATACTGTATCAATACGTTGGTTTTTTTTTAAGGTTGTTCTGTGTTAATTAGGTCCCACTTCAAGCTGTCAAACTGCTATTGTTACAAAGTATTACCACTCCCTCCACCCACATGATTGCTGAGTGCAGAGTAATACTGCATAGCAAGTAGACTTGTGGAAATACACTAAAGCAAGATGAAGTTGAAGAAATGCATTCCTGTCTTTAAATGTCTGCCTTGCTGTTGTGGCTAGCTGACAAGTGTTGGTCATCTTATTTTAAATTAATTTCATATTGATTAGTAGCAGTGAAGTATTTTGTTTTAGACTCCTCTAAGCTAGGCTATAGTATTGATTTTAAGTCTCTGAGGTGGATATCGGTGAATGAATCATATGTTTGTTTTTAGTGTTCCCACATGTGACACCCAAAGGAATTAATGGCATAGACTTTAAAGGGGAAGCTATAACTTTCAAGGCAACTACTGCTGGGATTCTTGCCACACTGTCTCATTGTATAGAACTCATGGTAAAACGTGAAGAGAGCTGGCAAAAAAGACTGGATAAGGTAAGCTTTTTTGTTGTTTGTTTTTGTTTGTTCATTTGTTTTCCTTTTCATTTGTCTGTAACAGTCAACTCAAGTGCCTTTCATTTCACTTGAAACTTTGATTGGGTGATACTTACTCCATGTAGCTTTATGAATGTGCTTGAGGGGTGTGAATTAATTTAATGACCTTAGACCGAGTGCTGGAATTTAATGGTGGTGTGCAGATCATGTGACAATATTGTCCATCCTGTGCTGGTCGTCTTACTAGCCTTGATTCCAGAGAGTTCTTAAATGTAATTATTTTTCCAAAAATCTATGGAGGACCTGACTGGTCTCCATAGCAATAAGTGTATTTTTTTCCAGCCTTTTAAGAACAGGAAACAATTCTTTTATTCTAAATGTTGTACAGATCTGTAGTACTGGACTGGTTGTAATAAAAGGTAGTGACAGCACTTAGTACAACCATTTTTTTTAATGAAGTGCTGTCTAAAATCTGGCATAATTCATCTCTAGAAACCAAAGAAGCTGCTACATGGTAATACATCAGTTTTTAAAGTTAACTCTCTCCATTCCTTAAGAAGAGCAATGAAAATATATTCAACCTATATACAAAAAATGTTTTAAGTTTTCCAGAGTTAGCTTCTAACATAGATTAAAAAAAACTTAAGTTACATTTTAGACCATTCAAACATGTTTAGTGATAACTTTTTTCAAAACTTACCTTAAGTTAAGGCAGGCACAACTCTGATTTTGGACTGGGGTTCTTTCAAATGTTGAAACCAGTTGTTGTAGGATTCTAACACAGCTGGTTTTTCAGAGAAGGTCTTGTTTGTGATTTCAGCCCCCTCCCCCCCCCTTCCTTCCCCCCTTGCCAGTCAGACTTCTGTTTGAACCTTTCCTTTGCATGAGGCAAAGGGCAAGCAAGAAGGCACAGAGTCTAGTGCAGGGGTTCCCAAAGTGTGACCTAGAGGCCTCTCCTATGTGGCCCACTGCCCCTTTAAAAATGGCCCTTCATTGGCAAAATTGAGACCCCCCCAGTTTAGCATGTTAAGAAATTTTAAAATAATAAAGAGGTAGCAATGCTGTTGGGTATATCTGAGCGCTCTTACCTTCATTTATTTTTTGCTGTATTTTACCTGCTTTACATATTTAAGTAGTCTGCCTCCAATTAAGTAAATTATTTACCTTTTATAATATATCTGAGATGATGGGTACTCAGCGGGAACTTCAAAGAAAAAAAATGTCACTATACTTATATAGTTCTGTAATAGTGGGAATTGACTGTTTCTGCTTCAGCCCTTTGGCATTTAGATCTGAATGGTTTTTAGCAGGAGTGGCCAACCTGCAGTACAGATGCTACCAGTGGCATAGGGAGCCTCTGCATGTGACATTTGGCAGATTGGGGAGTTTCTCATCCTTTTGGCTAAGATCAGAACTGCACTGTAAATGCTGTAAAACTCTAGTATGTTAATGAGGCCCTGTATTGCTGTAGCCTCTTTCCTAATTGCCATAGGTGCATGGAAGTGAACTGTTGATCCTCATAGTTTTACCTGGATTGGATAGTTCAAAAACATTTTTAGACCTGTAGAAATAAGATATAGGGGAGAGCTAAACAGTGTATTTTGTATAATTCAAGTTTCATCACATCCCACTTTAAGGAAAGGGAAGATTTATTTTGGTCTCCTGCTGCTTATCTCTAGAGCTTGAGTAACTGTTATACACATAGTACAAGGTCTGTCTGTTTAGCTCTTCTTTGGTTAATAATTATCTCTTTGCCTGGCTGTACATAGAAGGCCAGGAGAGGGCTGCCCTCTCTAGAACAGCAAAGGTCTATACACTACCTGCAGTTACCAGTACACTTCGCTAGTCCCTGCACTAGTTATTTATGACAGTGGGATACCAGATTGTTTGTGTGTAATTAAAATAGTAGCTGTTGTCCTAGCAGTACACCTGCTGCTCTCCTGGTATCTCAAATCAGTCCTCATTACTACAGATGCTGCTCTTGAGGGCTAATTATATATATAACTTTTTCTTTTTTTGAGATGTCCTATTTGAATAAACTCTAAAATGGTCAGGAACTTACCCAAATTTATTTGGACTAGAGGTGCACCGATACATTGGTCTGATATCGAATCGGTACCAATATAAAGAAAATTTGCTGCATCAGAAATCAGCCTGAAGTGGTCAATAATCTGGCCGATTAAATGCCCGTGTGTGCACACAGCTGCAGCGCAGCAGACAGGCAGTGAGGAGCAGTGTGCAGCTGGTAAGTCTGTTGTGATGGTAGAGGCATGGCAGGGGCAGATCAATGCCCCCTGTAGGGAGGGAGGGAGGGTCAGGGGCAACTGCTGCCCAGCCAGGGAGCAGTGGGCACAGGATGGAGCCATGGCTCATTGGGGGGGGGGCAGCTCCCACAGCTGCATGCACCCCAGGAGGACACGAGAGGGGCGTGTGCCCCTGGATCTGTGCAAGGTGGGCTGGAGCTGTGCCGGGCTTTTCTTGGCGGGGGCAGGCTGGGAGGGGGCTACGGAGGCTGTTACAGCCAAATTTCATTGTAGCCCCTCAACAAGCTGCAGCTCTGCCCCACCCCAGCTGGGTAGCACCTGCCCCTTCCCCTTCCCTCCATCACTGTGGGGGGTGTTGATCTGCTTCCCTCCCCCCCTCCCCTTCCACCACAATAAACTTACCAGCTGCACACAGCTGGTATTGGAAATCGAATCAGTATTGGCTGATATACGTCCTTAAATACTGGCTATCAGTATCAGCCCCCAAAATCTCTTTTGGTGCATCCTTAAGTTGAACATGCTTCTGAGGTATTTTCCTTCCTCTTTTACTCCATTTTAACACAGAACTTAGTTTTATGTTTTGCTTTCCACAGAAATGAGATTCTTCTTAATTTCCTAAGTCTTAACACTTTCCTTAGTAAGATCAAACCAATCTAACAATACTTTTGAGGCTCTTGTCAGTTGCTGCATGTTTTGGCACATTACAGTTCCTACTTGAATCAGATTCCCCAAAGAATATTGTACCCTATGATATAATGCATCTCTGCTAAATCTTGCAAAGTCAACAAGTACATTAGGTTAGAGTAGAATAGTTGGCTGAGTCCAGAAGCCACTAACGAATTGTTAGAATTGGATGTTAATACAATGGTATTAAGGCAAATAACAGAATTTAAATTTCCAACAGTGAGAAGGTAATTTGGTCCCCATGACCTATAATTCTTCAAATGGGTGGAATTAAACTTTTTCTTTTATACCACTTTCCCTCCCCAACTCCTAAACTCGCAAACCTGTACACCATGTTTCTCTGTGCTAATTTCCAAACCTCTAGGAATTCATCATGAAAACGCTTGAATATTGAGAAGGTGCTGCTGAAGTGCTGCACTTGCCTAGTTAAATATAAAATACTAAAATTACAATTACTTTTTGTTCCCAAGTCAACAGCAGCCAGAAGCAAATGAATACAAAAATGTAATAAATTAAATAAGCCTAAAGTAATTGTAATAGTTACGGCTACAGTTTGGACCTTTTATTTTGAGAGCTATTTAAGCAGGAAGGAAATTGGTTGCAGTGAATTTTTGTTTTTACCTTAGTACTGTAGACTCTACTCAGAGCCTGTTATGATATTATGCCATATGGCTTTTTTATAATTCAGCTGTTAAGAAAAGAGGTAAGCAAAGAAATATAAGCACATCATTGCCAATATCTGGTCCTTTTGCTATCCAAAACCCACATACATCCTAGTTTTGATGCTTTACTGATATTTCAGTTTCTACTATTTCTAATTAGTTATGCTTGACCTCCCTGAGTTCATCTCTTGGGCTCAGTTTTTCTGAAGGGTCTGCATATGAAGAAACTTAAATTAATCATCATTATTATTGTTTTCCTTTTAAAATGAATAAGGGCATTTTGATGTCACTGGCTTAGTCTTGAAATCATTACTTAGTCTGGAAAAATGCATGCTGTTAGCAAACATGACTCTGCTAAATCTCAAGTTTCTATAGCCAAGTCATCTGTAGCTATTATATAACAAAAATCTACTAGACCCTTTATGTTTGCATTGAATTTTTTAATAACAAATCATTCAGATGGATATTTGCCCTAATTGAAGTGTATTATACAGTACTACTATTTATAAGACCCTCCAGCATATTTCCTGGCCTTTGAAAGGTAAATGCAGTATTTTGCAGAAGATTAAACACACTTTCTGTATATGCTCTTTTGAAAAACAAAGATTAAATACGTTCATACTGTGTGCATGTACCTGTGGTTGCATAATGTGCTTAAATCCTGATGCTGGTACAGGGGCTAAAAGACTTGAGTGAAAAAACAGGTGGAAATGATCCAGAATGTTGGGGTTTTGTGTGGTTTTTTTGTAAACCCACATGTTGGCCATGACATCTTCTGGCATATTTGCTGATAACATATGGTTTGGATAAATGGCTTCAAATCTGATTGTGCGTTCCTGTAGGAAATTGAAAAAAGGAGAAGAATAGAAGAGGCATACAAAAATGCCATGACAGAACTTAAGAAAAAATCCCATTTTGGAGGACCAGATTATGAGGTATGAATGATGCATATTTCTGACTTCATAAGCTTTTAATCTTTATGTAAAAATATCAAGTCAAGACTTCAATAAAAAATACAAAGGCAGTAATATTTATGTGGCTAAATGACTCTATACTTCCACGTAAATGGCATCTCTTTTGATCAATATTTATCAAATACTTCTCCAGCAGCAGGAAAAGTTGGGGAATGAGAAGAGCAGAATAAGTGCATTTTAGTTGTGAACAGGGTTTTTTTTAAATATTTGGCTTAAAACTCTTAGGAGTTTCTTTTGATAAGAGTTTCTAGATACATGTTTGATGTAAGCCAGAAGTACCATCCATTTCATGTTTTCTCCCCTTGCTACTTTTTCTTCTGTTTGAGGGCTGGTCATTTGTACAGCATGTAGTGGGAAACTGTATATTTGGAGGCATTTATAGCTTAGTATGAAGCTAACTCAGTTAAATTGGTTTTAATTTGCTGTTGTCCCTGGTTCATAAACTTAAACCCTTGCTTTCCACAGGATGGGAGTAGACGCACAGTAAAATCCATCTCTCCCATGCTTTTTTTGGTATACTTTCTGTTCATGTTATCAGTGTCTTTGGGTCACTATACATGAGCCAAGAGGCTGCTCCAACATGCTGTAATTACAGCATGCTGGAGCAGACTTGATTAATAGTCTGCTGGAGCGTGGTAATTACCACACTCCAGCCAGCTTCCACATCTTGCATATCAGCATCCTTGTGCTTCAGAATGGTGTTGGGGGTGCTTTAACTAAAGCTCATTCAATGAGCTTTAGATAAAGTGCCCCCGCCACTGTTTTGAAGCAGGGGACACTGATACACGAGACACTCCGGGCATTTTAGAGTGGCTGTTGGAGCCACTCTAATTAAAGTGCTCCCACCCCTACTCTGGAGCATGTGTAAATGCATCCTTAGGGCTGGAAGCATCTAATGGCATTATATGTTAATTTTAAATTTGTTTCTATTTTTTTTTTCAGATATTGTGTTTTGAAAAATTAAGTTCTTAAATAATCAAATGATTGAGTTTGGGGGTCAATATAGAACCTGAACCTTTGGTGAAATATGTTGACATTATGGTCTTTAAATTTGCATTTCTTAGCTTGTGACCAAACATAAAAAAAACTTTAATTTGTATAGGCAGTCCTTCTGTTTTCTTTAATTAGTCTAAGAGTTTTATTAAATGTTGAGTCTCTTCAGGGTTGCATGATTTCTGAAAAATCGATTGCATAAGTAATGCTAGGTATACACTTTTATTTGCCTGCTTTATCCAAAAAAAAATAGGACTTTATAAATATTGAAATAAACACAACATGCGAGTTATCTGGCCTCCATTTTTTTTACATTGAGCTCAGTTTTCTTGAATACAGCATTATTTTGACATTTCACTCTTTCATTTCATGGCATAGGAAGGTCCTAATAGTCTGATTAATGAAGAAGAATTCTTTGATGCTGTTGAAGCTGCTCTTGATAGACAAGATAAAATAGAGGAACAGGTATTTAATATTACTACATGTTTTACAAGGCAGTTATGTTTAAAAATACTATTTCATAAATACTGTACTTCATACCCATACATGTAAGGGTGTCTTATGGACCAAATTGTGGCAGGCTGTGTGCGCGCAACTTGCCAATTTTATTGAAATTTCAGTGTGAACACCTGTAAGCAAAGTTTAGCTCTTGGAATTCGTCAAGTTTAAAAAACAAAAAACCACTTGTTCATTTTCTTTTTTGTTGTTTTGTTTCTTTAAGACTATTTTTAGTTTTGAAACATTGGGCCCACAATGATAGCATGCTCTAACTTTATTCTTGACATGGCAGCCTAAATATTAACTTGGATGAGTCCCTCTGTCTTCAAATCTATTTTTTAGTTATTAATAGAAATAAACGGCAAATCCAGTACAACATCTCATATTTTGTTCTTCTTAAATTAATATCCTATATGAAGTTTGTCAGATCTACCTGTTTCTAGGTGAAGTTTCCATTACTTTTAGTGACTCTGTAAAACAGATTTGCTGTTTAATTGCTGCCTCTTTCTTCTCATTTCTGTGAGCTTTGCTGCTGCCTTCCTAAGTCTTATGTCAAGACATTTTCTGTTCCTTGCTTCTGCAATTGGCTATTCAAAAATGCAGCAAGTTTAGTTGCATGGGGTGACACTTTTTTTACAGAACATACAAATGCAAAGTAGCATACACAATAGTGGTACAGGCAGTCCTCGAACTTACAACACAATTGGTTCCTAAAAACTGTGTCTTAAGTCACAACTTTGTAACTTGGAAGCAATGTTATAAATGGGGGATTGGTTCCTGAACCAAGGCCCAATATCCTATTTTCACCAAAATTAACCCAGATTTTGTACTCGATCAATTATAGATGAGTAATATAGCTACATTAATGTATTTATATTGTAAATAGCAATCATTGATTTGGAAGAACTTCTTTAAGGTGACTTTGCTGGACTTTTTGAAGGGCTCTTGGTTAGACTTTTTGAAGGGTTCTTGCCTGGAGTCTTCTCAGGAGTCTGGCTGCAGGATTTTCTGGAGTCTTGTCTGCTTTCTTAAAAAAAGTATCCAAGGAAGTTGGGACAGATGTTCTCCAGGAAGATGGGTGGCGCAGCAAACTTGTTTGCTGGCGTGGTGTCACATCGGATCAAGCATTGTAAAGTCGAAACTGACATCAGAAAGTTGAAATAGTGTCAATTTATAAATGTTGTAAATGCGAAACATTGTAACTTGGAATGTTGCAAATTGAGGACTGCCTGTATAATAGTTGTGAATAGCATTTTAGTATTGGTTTGGGATTTTAACTTATGTGTTTTCTGTGTGTACTTAAGTACATTTTCCAGGTTATTTTAGCTTCAGGTAAAAGTGGGTGAATATCTCACTGCACTAACTTTCTCCATGGAGGGTGCATCTACATGCCCAAATAATGCAGTGTGTTAAACTCCAAAGCACTTCCTGTTGGAAAAAATTGCTCCTGGGTGCAGTGTTCGCACAAGCACCCAGGACTGCAGAACTATGAGCCAGGGCAGAACAGCCCTAGGCTGGTAGGGTACCTGGGGAGTCAGCTCTGGGTGGCCAAGAGGCTGGCTGGGGCGCAAGGGTGCTAAAATTTGGGACTAGGTGACAGGCAGAGCACCATGCTTTAGCACCCTCTTGCCCCAGCCAGTACTGTCCCTGACAGTACTATCCTATGATGAAGTAAATTAATACCTAATGCCAGCACACATGTAGACTGTGACACTTGACTGCAGAGCTAATTACTCAGCTCTGCAGTGAAGAACATGTGTAGATGCACCCACTGTCTTATCAGTTGTTCTTAACTTAGAAGCAACCACTGCTGGATGTACAGGCAGTGCAGTGTCCATGTAAATCAAGTCACTGAGACCTGCCACCAAAGATGCCTATTAATGCTAGTTGTGAAAAGTATCCCTTTTTATCTTGTGATTTGCTGTCTCATTCTATATGAACGACTATTTTATGGTCTACCAAATAGTTATTCCGCACTGATTAAATTTAATGTTTTGTCTTAGTCTCAGAGTGAAAAGGTCAGATTACACTGGCCAACACCTTTACCTTCTGGTGATGCATACTCTGCTGTGGGGACTCATAGGTTTGTCCAGAAGGTAAGATGCTTTCACAGATATTTTTAAATCTACCTAGTATGTTTATTTAGTAATATCTTTTGTCACAGCTTGAGATCTAATTTGTAGATGCTTCTAGTAACTTTGAATGTGTTACTTATTAACAGTCAGTCTCCAGAAATTGGGGGAAACTTTTTTTTCGTATTGGGAACAAAAAATTCTTAATTTGAACAGCTATTTAAAATACTCCTGTCTTTTATCATTAGCTTATTGAATTTTAAAAAGAATTGTGCCTGTAACTTTTTTTATCCTTTTTAAAGGACTACCTCTTTAATAACTTTTTTTTTTTTAAATCACTAAACTGATTAAAATAAAGCTTTGTGATGGCTTATTTGACAATTTGCACAGTTACTGGAAACACTACAATCTTCACAGGGCCACATTGGGAGTATAATACATAATAGTTGCATGAAATCAGCATTTGCTGCTGTGCTTGCTGCTTATGGTGCTTTTGTTTTTCCTTTTCTTCATTATCTTGTGCTTGGAAGTTGGTACTGAATGCTCTGTTGTGCCTTTGTTCTGATTACTTGGTTTTTTCTTTGTCTGTCTCTGGTAGCCCTATAGTCGCTCTTCCTCCATGTCTTCCATTGATCTAGTCAGTGCCTCTGATGTTCACAGATTCAGCACCCAGGTACTGTATGAATACATAGTGGGGTTTGCATATCTTTGCACTGTATTTCATCCTGTTCTCTAGAACCTGGGTTTTCCTGTTACATAAATCCTTTGTATTTGTTTTAAATGAGTACAAAGATATACAAAGGGATTATCTATTCCTGCAGTAAGAGGTTGTCTTATTACATCTGCTTGCATGCATATCACTCTTGCACGGTCCTAAATCTGGGAAACTTTTTTATAGGATTAATTTTTGTAGCCTATTTTTCAAAAATGTTTAGAACCTGAAGGTCCTGTGTTTTTGATATAGTAGCTTCTCATAAAAAATGGAAAAATACTTTGGTCTTTGGGGTGGAGATACATTTTACTGTATCATAAAAGGAAGCTATGCTTACCTCTATCAGTTATTCCTACAGTGTGAAAAAATAAGCACACTTATTTTTTTAATCTTTCTCAATAGTGCACGTTTCTTAATGGCTATCAAGAAACTAAAGATTGAAAAAGAATGGTCTGTGAAGCCCTTTTGGTGAAAACTTACTCATGCTCTTGAAGCTGCACGTTTTGAAACACAATTTTGCATGTAGGCTTGACAATTATTTTGAGAGATCAGATAACAGAATTTCCCTTTTGAGTTTCCAGGTTCTTCATTTGTACAACCGCATTCTCAATATTGCCTAATATAGGAGACTGGTCCATGCCCATTGAACACCAGCCACACCTTGGCTTTTATAGATGAGTAAACCAGAGCTGGGACATTGCTTAACCATTGGTGTTGATGTGTGTGTGTCAAACTTAGCAGAATAAATAGAACGTAGAATTTTCATTAAACTGAACTTGTGCGCCCAGTTAATGGAGTTGTTGGAATGGTAGATCTGGACAGTCAAAAGAGAAATCGATTCTGATTTTCCTGCAAGTGACATTTTAACAGCAAGAAAAACTTAAGGGAGAGTCTTGCATATCTATTCACAATTTGGAGAAAAGCACACATGCCTTAATACAGGGGTGCTCAACCTTTTGGTGTGGCAGGCCAAATGAGTGGCATTGTGCCCATCTGTGGGCTGGATTGAAACCCACGTGGCAGAGTTAGCCCTGCACAACCTCTGCTGGGCCCACCACCAGGTAGGGCCTTATGCCACCTCCCTCAGCCCTTAATAGTCAGACTGGGGCACTGTGCTGCCTCCCTTTTGGCTCTGCATCACCTCCCCCAACCCCACACCACCTGCACCTCCTCCCTTGGCTCTACAACATCTATGCCACCTCAGGCTCCACACCACCTCCCTAGCTCTCTACTTCCTGTATCACCTTCCTGGGGCTCCACACTGCCTATGCTTCCTCCCTTCACTCTGCATAACTTCTCTTGGGCTCCATATCACCCATGATGCTTCCTTGGGGTTCCATGCCATCTCCCTCAGCTCCATACCACCTCTAGTCAGCCCCACACTGAAGTATTGAGCTGTGTACTACCTCTAGCCAGCAGCTGTGTGCCTAGGTTGACCCCAGGCCATGTCCATGCACTTATCTAGCATGCTATCCCATCAGCAGGGCTCCCCACAAATCCATAAATTTGGCAGCAAGGGACTGGTAATTGCTGCCACTGCTTTCCTGCTGCCATATTTTTGGACCCATGGGGACTCCTGCAAGCCAGATGGCATCCCAGGGTTGCTTTGTTTCTGCCTCCTAATCCCATTGGAGTCTGTCACTCAGGCTGGACTCTAGTGCTCAAGCAGAGCAGGGAGCAGAATATACCCTCTTCATAATCCCCACAGTGTGCTGCAGGGAGACGTAGATTGACCATGCACAGTCTGGGTCGGCCAATCGGGGCTCCTCTGTATATTGCTACCATCTATCTCCTAGCAGACAGTGCTCCCAGAGCACTCTGCAATGTGTGCACAGGGGCCCCCTGGCTGTGCAGCATCCACATGGCAGGCTTTCTGCTTTTCCAAGAACTCTGCATTCGAGCATCTGTTCAGGGGTTTCTAGATAAGTTTTTCTACCAGGAAAACAAACCTGGAAGAATTCTCCCAGATCATTTAAGCATGTGTAAGCAGCCTAGGATGGGTGTCACATTTGCCCTGGGGCCCAGGCCAGATCCAGACTGCAGAGGTTCTCTGGGACTAGATCTACAGGATCAGCAGTTGCAATGAGTCAAGGTGGAACAGGAGTGGCAGATAAAGCAGGGATCCAGAACAGCTGGGGCAGCAGGAGGACCAAGTAACCACATGCTGAGTAGGCTATGCTGCCAGTAGCCATCTGTCAGTTTGCAGAAGCCCCAAATTCTGCAGCAAACCATACCCCTGTACCCTGTCCCTCAACTTGTAGTAGACTGTCAGGCCAGATGGAATGGCTCCATGGACCAGATCCAGGTTTTGGGCTGGATCTCTGACATCCTGCTTTAGGAGAATTACATTTTTGTCTCCCTTAATAATTAATTGGTTGTTTCTCTGGTATCCAGTCACTTCAGAGGACCTGTACTTAAGCTCTGTCTGCTTAGAAAATTTGTAGATAATATCAGCAAAAAAGCAAGGAAAAAATTGCAAATAGTGATTCTGCTGGCTACTGGCTAGAAGAGGGACACCAGGCCTAAAATTGGAAAGTAAAAGTGATTTTTGTAAGTTTAACTTTTAACCAAAAGACCAGTCTCTTGAGTCATGAAAGATGCTCATTCTCTTTCCACAGGAAAAAAATCTGCAAAAAATAAAAGTGAAACTTACCTTAAATATTGTTCCATAAAATGTAGTAGAGGTGCAGCGATACACTGATTCAATATTGGATCTGAACTGATATAAAGAAAAACGTCTGTATCAGAAATGGGCCATATCAGGCTGATAATTTGGCTGATAAATGGCCTGTGCATGCACATAGCCAAACCACAGCACAGGCGGTGAGGAGCACAGACCAGCAGTGTGGAGAGCTGCCTCAAGCTAAGTCTGTTGTGGTGGAAGGGAAGGGGCATTAGAGGGAAGATCAAGACCTCCACGGTGAGGGAGGAGTGGGGCTGGGGCAAGTGCTGCCCAGCTGCCGTGGAACAGAGCTGCGGCTTGTCCGGGGGTGGGGGGACAGCTCCCGCTGCCACCATGCACCATTCATCTGGGAGCTGCTGGTCCGGGAGCTCACCTGCTTGTCCAGCAGCTCCTGCTGCTGCTCCCACCGCTTGTCTGGGAGGGCACTGGGGTGGGGGTGGGCAGATCCCCTGGATCTGCGCAGGGCAGGCTGGGGCCAAGGCTATGCCAAGCTCTTCCCCGGTGGGAGGGGGGGGGCTACAGCTTCCCCCCCCCCCATAGTCCCATTCCCAGCGTTGCTGCTGCCTGACCCAAACCTAGCCCGCCCATCCGGGAAGAGCTTGGCTCAGCCTGCCCTGCACAGTTCCAGGGGTACATAGCCCCCTCTACCCCATACCCTCCCGGACAAGCGGCGGGAGTCACCGGATGAGCAGGTAAGCAGCGTATGAGCCGCTGAACCAGCGGTGTGCAGCAGTGGGAGCTGTCCCCGCCCGTGCACCCCAGGATGAGCCACAGCTCTGTCCTGCGCCCACTGCAGCTCCACTCCTCCCTCGCTGCGGGGGCCTTGATCTGCCTCCCTCCCCCTTTTCCCTTCCTCCTCCCCTTCCACCACAACAGACTTACCAGCTGCACTCAGCTCTCCAGGCTACCTGGCTGGTATCAGAAATTGGATCAGTATCGGCCCCAAAAATCTGTAGCGGTGCACCCCTAAAATGTAGCTACAGCTAAGTGTAATGTGGTATGTTTGAGGAACTTGGTTCAGGCTGCAGTTACTCTATTCTAATGTTGAGTGTACAACCCAAAAAGTACAGAGTATGAACAAAAGTAGTCTGTTTAATTTTAAAAGCATCCTTTCTAGTTTCATAGCAAATTAATTAGTGACTCAAACATCAGTGAAGACTCTTTAACTGCTTTCTCTACTTAGTGATATGCTAGATTTTTTTTTTTCAAATGACAGGGAATAGTTCTTTAGACGCTTTGTGTATAAATTCTGAATTCTGTGCAAGACACTTACAGCCACAGGTTACTAACCTGATTCTTAACTCAGAAATATATCATAATTTGTCTTTAACTTTTTTTATTTTTAAGACTTTTTTCAAGCAATACTCATTCTTTAAACCCCTGCAGGATTCAAGCAAACACTGATCATGTTGAGCAGTCTGTGCTGTAACATTACATCTTCTATTAACCCAATCTTTATGCTATAAATGAAAAATGGTAGATACTTTTTCAACCACAATACAAAATATCTGCTGCATCTATAACACTTTTTAATATCTTTTTTTTCCCAGACTTATCGCACTTACAAATAATCTGAATGTGTTTAAGGTTAAAGAACAAGTTTTAGAAGCATTTATTAACTTCCCAAGGATTGTAGCCCCACTGCCCATTAAAAGAGGCTTTTTCCTTCTGGTATAAGGAATAAGTTTGTAGCATTTGTGTAACTTGAAATATAAAAATGGCTGTATAATATAAAGAAGTTGATAATTCTTATATAGCAAACTGATTTTTTTTTTAAATTGTAGGGAAAACAAGCCATGAACAAGATTGTGTCTGCTTTGTAACTCCTTTCTTAGTTTTAGGCAATACAAACATGTTTGGGCTTAAGCAAATTGGTAGTGTTTCTTCTTAAATTGGAAGCACATCGGGGTGCCACTTAAATTTGACAGCAAAATAGGTGTACACTTTAATTCTCAATAAGCTTTCCCTTATGTCAGGCTTGTCCAGCATACGGCCTGTGGGCTGCCATGTGGCCCGCCAAGCCATTTTCTGAGGCCCAAGGTGCTGCGACGGGAAACGAAAGTAAACACTGTTTACTTTCATTCCCACCCCTTGTCCCTCCCCCAACCCCTCAGCAGCTTCCTAATGGCTGCTGAAGGGCTGGGGAAGGGACAAGGTTCCCACACGTACCACATCAGCTTGATGTTGCCGACGCAGTGCATGTGGGAAGAGGAATAACCATGTGCTTCTCAGGACAAGATGAGCCCAGCCGGAGCAGCAGGGACTTAATAATGCCGCCTCTGCTGGCTGGTGCTGACTTGGGACTGACTGGTGGAGGCAGGGGGAAAATGCAGCTGAGCCCCTGCCACTCCAGCCAGGCTCGTCCCATCCCGAGCAGCACACAGCTCCACTACCACTTCTGCTGGCTGGTGCAGACCAGCTGGGCTCCTTCCGTCCCCAGCAGCATGTGGGAAGCCAGCTCGCTGCTCCGGATGGGATGGACCCAGCCAGGTCAACACTGGCCAGGAAAAGCGGCATGCAGCTGAAATCTGCTTCCCATGTGCTGCTGGGGATGGGAGGAGCCCGGCCAGGTCTGCACCAGCTAGCAGAAGCAGTGGCAGAGCCATCTGCCGCTCTGGACGGGACAAGCCCGGCCACAGTGGCAGAGGCTCGGTAGCATTTTCCTCCTGCCTGCACCAGTCAGTCCCAAGCAGCACATGGCTCCACCGCCATGTCTGCTGGCTGGTGCCGACCGGGCTGGCTGCCACCTGTCCCCAGCAGCACGTGGGAAGCCAGCGCGGGAGGGCCTCGGCAGGTGGTGTCCTGGCGTGACCTCTGCAGGGCGAGGCAGCGGGAGCCGGTGTCTGCCGGACCCTGTGTTCCGGGCTCACAGCACTGAGGCCACCAGGGCTGCATGTGTGGGCGGCCAGGCACTGCTGTATGCAGGGCTGTGCGGGTGGGTGGGTGAGGGGCTGCAGTGCACTGGCGGCAGTGCTCCAGCCCCCCTCAGGCAGTGCCAGCTCATGGGGCTGTGCTGCTTGGGGGATGGGGATGTGGAGCTATTTATTTCTCCCCTTCAGTCTCCGGGGCAGTAGCTGGCTGGATGCAGAATGGGTCACTCCTGCCCCTGCCCACCAGCAGCTACCATGAACCTTGCAATAATGGGCAGGTGCAGTAGGGCCTACACAGGCAGGGTCTCTCTGGCCCAGGACAGAGGGTGTTTGAATATGGCTCGCGGGCCCAGTGGGTGATTTAAAAAAAAGTTCACGATCCAGCCCCACTGGATCAGGGTGTCAAAAAGGTTGGACACCCCTGCCTTATGTAGTGCATATAAAAGCTAAGTTTCCCAAAGAAAATAAAATAAATTAATAGTCCTAGTAGAATTGTTTGCCTCGTGCTTAGCTTGTTAACCTGCATTTAACTTTCCTTTTCTAAAGTAACTTAGTTCTGTTTATCTATAGATCTATAATGGCCCCTTTTGTTTATGTATCTAAGTGCATCTTACATGTTGAAATAGAAATAAGAAAGCATTCTCTTATTTTAAGGGTTTATAAGATGAGAAATACATATTTGGAGAATTTGTGGAGAAACCGAGGTCAAAGAATATAGCAGTGGTTTTCAAACCTTTTTGGTTTGTGGACCCTAATATTTAGAATGGAGGTGTGGACCTCGTATAATTATAGGTGTGTGTATTCACATACTTAAGTCAATACCTGTGGAAGGAAGATCTATTGCTGGTACAATATAACCTCATAAATACAGCATGCTTGGGACTGAGCACCTGTCAGAAATTTGAAAATTCTGTGTTTTGCTTTTTTTTTTTTAAACAGGAGCAGTGGCCAGCTGTGGAGCAAGTGGGCTGGGGGGAGGGGCAGGCGGTCCCAAAACAACAGCCACAGAGAGCAGCAGTGTGGGGTGGTGGATGGAGGTGGCAGCTGACACGTGCAAGCTTCCCCCTCCACGTCTGGGGGAGCGAAGGGGGAAACTTAAAAAGTGCTGGATTTTTAAGATCCGGATTTATGAGATTATACTGTTGTTTAACTATACAACTTTATACATCCTTATACTTGTTTATGTTCCTGTATAGCATCTTGTATGCTGTATCCAAAGAATGGTAGGGGTGCATTTGAAATGAATCTTGCAATTTTTTTCCTCCATAGGTGGAAGAGATGGTGCAGAACCACATGACTTACTCTTTACAGGATGTAGGAGGAGATGCCAATTGGCAACTAGTAGTTGAAGAGGGTGAAATGAAGGTAAATAAAATAGGTTTGTTTTATTACCATCTTTACTTGATTCTGAGTTTTTTCCCATTTAACATGGGGTGGGGGGGACCCATTGTCTTATAACAGAGTATGGGTGGGAGGCAGGCAGCTGCTGCAGCTTTGATTCCAGGTTTGGGGCCACATCTACAGCTGCTGCCTCCACCTACTGCTTCTGCACCCCACCATCCCTTCCCCCTCCCCCTCCAACCCTTTCTCTGCACTGGCAGGCTCCCTGTGCGCTGCAGCCTGGGGCACTGAGCCTGGCCCTGTGACAGTGGCACACAGCCCACACAACTGCCACAGGGGCAAGCTGTTTGACCTCCCCACACCACCTGCCTCCCTTCTGCCTGTCCCCCTACAGCAGGGGCAGGCAATTATTTCAGGCAGAGTGCCGCTTACTGAGTTTTGGCAAGCCATCAAGGGCCACATGACAGGCAGCCAGGGGCAGATAAATATTAATTTTCTAAATTTTTTAGGGGCCCTGTGGGCCAGGTGGAAAGGCCTGACAGGCCGCATCTTGCCCACGCCTCCCCTACAGCAAGGGGAGGGATGAACTAAAGATGGTCCTCCAATAATTAAATTCTGTGTATGGAAAATTTTATAATAAATTCAGATGTATAGAATTACATACTGGGAGGTCATCTTAAAGTTAGGGGCACCTTAGATTCACGTAAAAATGTTTTTTTTCTGAATCAGCATGAACTAGTATAAACTCAGATGGCATTTTATTGCATAAATGTTGATGTAAGACTAAATTCTAATATCCTTATATTAGATATTGAAATCAGATGGATCACTCTAGCAGTGATCCTATTTAATTTAAAACTGAACCGTTTTAGATTAAGATTTTAGAATTGAAGTCCACAAGAACTATGGCTTTTTCATAGTTTAAAGTATCTTATATTTTATATATGTTACGCTGAACATTTTAGTCCTTTGCAGAGGGAAATCAGTTATCTTCCATTGCCTTCCTGTTTTAGGTAAAGGGATCTTTAAGTGGGCTGCCAAAGTAGTGTCTTTAAGTGAAGCGCAAATCAAACTCAAAGGACTTCTGGCCTCTTCACTCAAAATTGTTTTGCACCAATTTTTTGTATTTGCCCAAAGGTTTACAGAAGAGAGGTAGAAGAAAATGGAATAGTTTTAGATCCTCTGAAGGCCACACATGCAGTCAAAGGGGTCACAGGACATGAAGTCTGCCACTACTTCTGGAATGTTGATGTTCGTAATGACTGGGAAAGTAAGGAATCTTATTCTTAAATTGCATTACTGTTAATCTGAATATAATTGAAACCCTTTCTGACCTGTACGTTTGGGCTTATACACAGATCTAATTCTTCTGTTTTTAGCAACCATTGAAAATTTCCATGTTGTGGAAACCCTAGCTGATAATGCAATCATCATTTACCAGACACACAAGGTAATAATATCTTTTTAATTTGTATAGTCCCTTACATTTAGAAGGATCTCAAAGTGGCGCACTTCTAACTGTCGAGTTTTTCCCCTCTTAACAAGAAGTAAAAATTCTGGATTGAGAGCACTTTGTGCATGTATCCCGTACTTCAGTTTGTGCCTTGACTCAGATGACAGACCTAAATAAAACTTGGAAAAATCATAGAGGTGTTCTGCCTTTTCAAAGAAAAAATGACTTGTTGCATCACCTGGCCCACATATCCCTGGCCCAGTTAACCCAGTGTCCTTTTTATGGAGCCTGAAGAAAAAAAACTTTGTCCAGCTTTTGAAATGATCTTGCGTAGCCTAAAACCAAGCATACAAAAAAAGTATCGGGATTTGTGCCAAAGTAGTATATATCCCTGTTTCAGTCACTCTAAGGAAAATGTGTTACCAGCTATTACTAAGTTTTGAAGAAATTCCTGTTTTGATTTCCCTCTCTCCTTCCCCTTTCTTTCCTTCCTTTCCCCCCCCAGTGTAGATTTCTCGGCACTAATGTGACAATGACCATATTTGTTGGTATTGAGCTGGAGGCTTTCCTCTCTATTAGAGAATTCTTAGCTGATATTTTTTTCAGTTTAATACACCTTAGTAACATGTATTTCCTTGCAGAGAGTGTGGCCTGCTTCCCAACGGGATGTGCTATATCTGTCAGCCATTAGAAAGATACCAGCATTCAGTGAAAATGATCCTGAAACTTGGATTGTCTGTAACTTCTCTGTGGAACATGACAGTGCTCCTGTAAGTAATGCCCATGAACACTATCAAACTGCTTTTAGAAGTTCTTGGTTTGATCCAAAACACATAGCTAACTGAAACCTTTCTATAAATTGGAATTCTTCTAAATATTTTTAGAATCTTATGTAGGTCTATACCACTCAGCAAAGACAAGTGCAAAGTGCTGCATCTGGGCAAAAAGAACCACCAACACACTTACAGGCTGGGGGATGACCTCAGCAACACAGCAGTAGAAAGGGATCTTGGAGTCATAGTTGACTCCAAGGTGAACATGAGTCGCCAATGTGACAAAGTGATCAACAAGGCTAACCACACTTTAGCATGCATTAGCAGATGCATGACGAACGGGTCCAGGAAGGTGATGCTTCCCCTCTGTGCAGCACTGGTCAGGTCACAGATGGAGTACTGCATCCAGTTTTGGGTGCCACAGTTCAAGAGGGAAGCAGAGAATCTTGAGAGGATTCAGAAGAGAGCCACTCATATCGTCAGAGGCCTGCAGACAAGGCCCTATGAGGAGAGACTGAGGGACCTAGATCTCTTCAGCCTGTGCAAGAGAAGGCTGAGAGGTGATCTTGTGACTACCTATAAATTCATCAGGAGAGGGCAGCAGAGAATAGGAGATGCTCTATTTACTAGGGCACACCCTGGAGTAACTAGGAACAATGCCGACAAATTGACGGAGAGCAGATTTAGGTTGGACATTAGAAAGAACTTCTTCACAGTAAGGGTTGCCAGAATCTGGAATGGGCTTCCAAGAAAGGCAGTGCTCTCCCCTACCCTGGGGTCTTCGAGGGGAGACTGGACAAGCTCCTAACTGGGGTAATCTGACCACACCACTCTTTCCTGCCCAGGACAAGGGGTCAGACTCTATGACCTACTGAGGTCCTTTCCGACCCTAACATCTGTGAGGAAGAGGAAGCTCAGACTCTGGCTACTGTCACAACCAGAGCAATGGGGGAGCAGTGCAGATTGGCAGGAGCATGGGGCTCGCAACTTAACCACTTATGGACTGTATGCCACCCCCAGGCCTATTTAAAAGCTGTCTGAGACTGCTTTACTTGCCTGTGTGTAACTTGTCATAATTTTTCATTGGGATTTTAAGTTATTACTGGTATAAATGTTGGCACTTAGCTGTTAAAAAAAAAACAAAAAACATTGAGGCAAATTTGACTTAATGTGTATATAAAATGTTAAATTTTTCTGCAGCTGAACAATCGATGTGTTCGTGCCAAAATAAACATTGCTATGATCTGTCAGACATTGGTAAGCCCACCAGAAGGAAACAAAGAAATAAGCAGAGACAATATCCTATGCAAGATTACATATGTAGCAAATGGTATGTATGGATTTCAATACAGCACTTGCATTTATGTTGTTTTGTGGATTAGGATTGAAATTCTTGGAGAAAGAAATAAAAAAAACTTTATAAACTTTCTGTAAAGTCTTATTTTTGGATCCACATTTATGAATCAGCTGTTGGCTAAATTAGAAATACCTAAATATGTTAACCACACTGTCCAGTAAATGGAGGTATTCACTGTTTTGGAAGAAGTACAGTAGAAATGTTTAAATGTGTTGCCTCATTCCAATCCCAAACAGACAGTTTTAGACAAAATAAGTGAGATGTTTATAACAGTTATAGCCAGTTTTATTTGACTTGCTTCATAGTTTAAGTTATAGTAATCTTTGGTGTCCAAATCGCCTTTCCTAGTCTGTTAGCCAACCCTGGTCAAATATACTTTTTTCAGCCAGTTAAAATCTCCACAGTAACTGGTTTGTAAACATTTCTTAGTTTTTGGGTTTTTTTCTTTTTTTCTTTTTTTTCCCTGGACAGCATCTATTATGCTGACCAAACTCCTCAACAGCCAAATAGAAGATTGATGTTGCTAAACTAATTTTGCATGCATAAATCCACTCAGTGGTTTGTTTTAAAGCAGTGAATCTCTGCTGGGGTGCCATGATGCTCAGCCTGTGAGCCAGGATGTAAGCAATCACGCCGCCTCTTTTTTCCCAGTGCTTGACACCCCAGTATCCTACAGAAACGAGCTGTGTCTGTGGCTGGTCCCCATGTTTCTAGCAGTGTGCTGTTGTGTGAAAACAAACAGCTGTGAGGCTGCACTTTTCAGCCTGTCCTAATCTCCCATTTCTTCCCATCCCCTCCTTTGCTCCTGGGGCCAGTAGGAAGAGTTGTATGCGCATCTGACTCCATTACTAACATTTGAGTCCCTGGAGGGAGTAGCAATTGTGACCTCGGGTACAGACCAGGGGTTGGGAGTTGGTGGGAAGAAAAAAACAAAGGGCACAGAAGACTGAACCCCCTCTGGTACTCCATTCAGCTGACATGAGCTAGGTTCCGTCTCATAGGTTCTCAACTAGGATGGCCTTAAATGCTGAAAAATTATGAAAGGGTGAAAGGTAAAAAAGGTTGAAAACTGCTGTTTTAAAAGATAACTTAGGAACTATATAATATTTTGTGCTTTGAAATGGAAACTATTAGAGTAATGCATGTATCTCTTCACTTGCTTTCCACATTTTTCAGCATGACTCCTTGAGGGCCTAGACCAGGGATTCTTAAACAGGGTTTCATGCACTGTTAGGTGTACCAACATAATTTACAACATTTAAACACAGGTTTCAAATAGAAATTTGTACAGTCAGCAGCATTCTGACTTGGTATTGTCTTTGAGTTCCTTGTAACGGAAGAATTGCTGTAGTAGTGTTCTGTAGTCAAAGGAACAAGTGAAAGGGCTGGCATTTTCCAAGGGGAGCTGTGAGTCTAGAGAGGTTGAGAACTGGCCTAGATAGTTGAAGGGTTTACACCATTTTAAAAAGGTAGGAGACAGACAGCATAGATCCTGAGACTGGCTTAATTTCTAGTGTAGAATTTGTTCCTGGAAAAACCTGATATCTATGCAGCTTGACCAATGGTAATCGTTAGCTTGTTACCTGCTTCCAGCCGCCTAGTGGGGAGTTGTAGTAATAACAGCCTACACCTAATAAGTGAGCATCAGTTGGTTAAGTACCTAGGTATAATGTAAATGTGCAAAACCAATGTAAATTATAACAATGTATATGATCATCTGTCCATATCCATAGTGCAGAGCAGCAGAATGATCAACTGTTCTCTCAAATACCTGGGAAATATTTTATGTATTATCAATACTATTCCTTTTAATACTACTGTATTAAGTTTTCTTTAGTAAAATCTCCATATGCAGCTCAGTATTGTGACAAGGAATTTTTACAGAAGCACTAAATCCTGCAGCATTAATAAACCATTCTATTTTTAATTCAAATAAATATGGAGGTAATGTGATTAGTGTATAGTACTTGAATTTACTGAATTTTAAAATGTATTCTGTCCTTACACTTTTAATTTTCATGGGGCTCTGGAATGTTATAGTTTCAGTGCTGTCACTACATTATAGGCAGTGCTGGGTGTTCTATACCAAAATCCATTTTCCCAGAATTGAGAGACCCATTCAGAATTGAACTAATCTAAAATAATACTGCACAAAGCAATTAATAAAACACAGAGTACAGGCAAGTACAACACCATTGAGCAGTAAATCAAATACTCCTTTTTTTTTGGAATGAGAAACAAGGATGCTGGAGGTACTTGTTCTTTCTGAAAAATGCTATAGGATTATAGTCTTCTATTTGGGCATCTTGGCTAAATGATTTTTGTGTTTATCATGTATTCCTGTGTTGTGGTAACATAAATCTAACTAAAATCCATTCTATTCCCAGTTGCTTGCCTCTTACTGACCTGGCTCTTATTTGCCATTGCATTTGTTTTCTAGCTGTCAATGGCCCTGATCCTGCTATGAGATCAGTGGAGGGAGGGGGCCATTAATGTCACGAAGAGCCCTGCAGAGTCTTGCTAGTCAGTCCATTAGCGGTGTGCAAAATGGGCCCTATTCGATTTCAGATTCGGCCCGAATCAAGGACAGTGATTCAGTTTGATTTTGATTTGGCCAAATCTGAATCTGAAGATTCTATGCTGATTCGGAGAATCGGCGATTCAGCCATAGACACAGCTTTAAATGTTGTTTCTGCATACCTCAAGGTACCAAGCATGGCTCATGAAAGGTGCAGTGCTGGGATGGATGGAGTGTCCCACAGGAGTGCGGGGGAGCCCCCCGCATGCTCAGTGACAAACCCGGAAGTGGACTGGAAGTACTTCGGTCCACATCCAGGCCCACTGGAGGGGCCTCCTACTCCCCCCTGGCTCAGCGATCAGCTGAAGAAAGTTGGTTTGTCATCTGATATATTTAAAAAAAAGGCAAACAAATAGCCCAATGGAGGGAACAAGTTAAATGTATTGTAAAGTTTTTAGTTATTTAGGCATTCAGTACATCCCAAATGAAAGTACAGAACATCACAAGCCCTAATTGTTTTTCCTTTTGCAGTTTGCATGATAAATCAACAACTCCTCCTAATGTTGCACTAGATTCTTCATCAGATTTTAAATGTGTATAATATTTTCCACAGATGGTACCTGCAAACTTGACATTAGTTTGATACCAGATCTTGGCCTGGATAGGATCCTGACTGAGTTTAAAAACAGGAATCGTCCTAAGTGGCATATTCTGGCTCTGTGTAACTTTTAAATAGTGCTTTATATTTTTGGTAAATAACAAATGGTATTCCCTTAGCTACTTAGCCTTTATAATTTCTACATCTAATCAACCAGTTATTAAGAAATTGTGCTTCTGGATTGCAGGGGATGGATGGTCAACATTAAGCATCACATTTGCAGACAAAATGTATATACTATGAAGCATTTACCTGTCCAGCCACCTGTGTGCAAATGCAACTTATATCTAGTTTAATTTTTTTTAGTGAACCCTGGGGGATGGGCACCAGCCTCAGTGTTACGGGCAGTGGCAAAACGGGAGTATCCCAAATTCCTGAAGCGTTTCACATCATATGTGCAAGAGAAAACAGCAGGAAAGCCTATTTTATTCTAGTATTAACAGGTATTTGCTGAACTTGTCACTTTTTTTCTCTATAAGTTGATGTAAGTACTTAAGGCTAAACAAAAGATAAGCAATGTAGAAATGTTTAAACATTTTTAGAGATTAGAACTTGCATATGTATTCTGAATTTTGCAGTAACACTTATTTAGCAAGTACATTTATTTTCTATGTATGTAGAAAAAAATAAGATTTACAATTACCATATTTCTTCTCATATCCAGGATGAATTTGATTTAAATTAAATCTATTTTAAATCGCAACTAAAATTACTATTTAAATAACTGGTCAGGAAGCCTCGATTTTAATCTTTTTCTACAAATGTGCATTCTTGTTGTTTGATATAACCTTCATGTATATTAGTCACAACTTGGAGATGTAGGTTTCATTTTTAGAAGGTACACGCTATAGATTTTAAAGCAGTGATTTTGATATTTTTCAGATTCATTTTGCAACTACATCAGACAACTGAATTATGATTTGGTTATTTTATTTACCAAAGCTAATTGAAGGAGATATATTGGGAGGTGGACTATCTCCAACTCGCTAGATTAATCATGGATATTTGGCAGATATTTTTGCCATGCTGTATTAAGAGGACATCAGATGAGTGCTGCAGCCATAGTTATTAGCTTGCGGCTTTCTTCTAGATTTCTTCTCATCTTTGATTTTCTTCTTTTATGGCCTGGCAAGCCTGCTGCCATGATAGGTTTTCCCTTCTACCATACCATTCCTTGACTAGATCTCAAACCGATTAAGAGGCTGTGTACTTAGGAACAAAGACTTCTGTCATACCCAAGGCTTCTGGAATATTCTGCTCAAAATGTTTATTTTGTTTCTAGGGATGCTCCCTCCTTGCATTTATCTGCAGACTCTTCCTCCTTGCCCAGATCTACTCCACCCCCAACAAGCCTCTATTCATTTAAAAGTGAAAAGTTTCAAGAAGTTAGAGAGAGATAAAGGCTTGACTCTGTATACACAAACTTGCAGAGAGATGAGAGGGCTGATGGGTAGGTAATCAGGTCTGTTATCTCTCATCTCTATATACTGCTGTTAAAAAGGATGTTATCTCTGGAGATTCATCCACAGTTTGAGAACTGAAAATAAGCATCACAGAGATGATTAATGGAATCTTCTAGGCTGAGCACTGAGTCCCACTGGCGAGAGTGGTTTTCTTTAATCTATAGAGGAGCCTCTGGGAGCCCCATAACATTGAACCTATCTTGATATAGGTTTATTCTTTTTTAAAAAACATCTTAACAAAAAGAATTAAAAATATGATTAAATTTAAAAAATTGATTTAAATTTTAAATTCATTTTTAAAATTTTTTATTCCCCCTGCTTATACATATGCACTTTCCTCCCTTTCAGAATTAGCCTTCCACATATCCCAATTTTATCTTTAAGCAAAGGAGCTGATTTCTCTGGTTGGAATGGTAGCAGTGGCACTTCTGTTCTAGTAGTGTTGAGGAAGTCAGTTGACTTCATGACTCTATCTACTTGATTCCTGCTAATTGTTTTTCATCTTGGTATTAACAACATACTTTCCTTTTTTAATTGTCAAGACATTCCACTAATCAAGGTCCTTTCTTTAGCAATTCTGCTGTCTGTGTTAGCCACTTTTGGTCTCTCCTATTTCACAACTCTGCAGAGGGATGCTTTGTGTGGTTTTTTAGCTCTCTTCAAAATCCTAGATCTACCAATAGAGTTCAGTCTTCACCAGCAGCTACAATTTCAGCTTTGACAATTCAGCTGTAAAAGGGGTTAAAACTAGCTTTTGCCTGAACAGGAAAGGGAGGGTGAAGTGAGCCCATTCTCCACCATGGCCACATCTCTGGATAAATCTTTTTTTAGTCATTCCCCGAAACAAGATGCGTCTTTGTAACAGGGAGCCAAAGGCTATTGTTACTTGAAGGAGAGAGCAGCAGATCAAGCTTGCTGTGTAGGGCAGGGAGCAAGGCAGCTAAGAAGCAAGCTAGCTGCTAGAGAGAGAGCCGTCAGAAAGCAAGCGGGCCAGAAACAACAACAGGATAGGTGCTACCATTTAGAGGGACTGTCCTGGAGCTAGCTGCTATGTAGCATGCTGCCAAGGGGCAGACCTCCAGGCAGCACAGGATTAGGAACTCCAAGCTAAACTGCAGTAGAGGACAGGATATTAATCAAGCCAAAAGGAGAAACCCCTGTGTGTGGCTGGAGAACCATCTGACAGGAAAAGGTGGAACTTTGGGGCATACACAACCAGTGCCTGAGATTTTAGCCATCAGTCTGGCCCTGCCGGCTTCAGGGAGAGGAGCTCCTGAATAAGATTGCTGCAGGAGATGGAATGGCTGACACCCAAGCTGTCCCAGAGGGCTGCAGGGAGAGTGCTAAGTGCTGTTCGATTTGCTTGCATTTGTTTTGACTAAGGTAGATATTGGAGGATGGGTTGTGGCTATAGGGAAGCTGTGGAGGCCACAGAAGGGTGCCTGATGGGGCCCTCAGTGGCAGGCAGCCTACCCTGGCATCAGGGACCCAGAGGGCTGAGGCTGGTGTGATGAATTAAGCTGAAGCTGGGAGAGCCCGGACCAGTGTTAGGCAACTTAGCCTGTGGTCAGGGACCCAGAGGGCTGCAGGCTGGGGCATTGGTCACTTGGGCAGCAGTGACTGCAAGATGATCAACTTCAGGATCCTGACAAAAGCAAGGAAGGTGAGCAGCAGAGTATGGACCCTGGACTTTGAAAAAGCAGACTTGGACTCCCTCAGGGAACTGATGAGCAGGATGCCCTGGGAGGCCAGTCTGAGGGGGAAAGGAGTCCAGGAAAGCTGGTTGTATTTTAAAAAAAACCTTACTGAAGGGGCAAGAACAAACTATCCTCAAATGCAGGAAGAATAGCAAATATGGCATGTGACCAGCTTGGTGTAGTAGAGAACTCTTTGGTGAGCTTAAACACAAAAAGAAAGCTTACAAGAAGTGGAAACTTGGACAGATGACTGGGGAGTATAAGAATATTGCTCAGACATGCAGGGATGAAGTCAGGAAGGCCAAAGCACAACTGGAGTTGTAGCTAGCAAGGGTCATAAAGGGTAACAAGAAGGGTTTCTACAAGTATGTTAGTACAAGAGGAAGTTCAGGGAAAGTGTGGGTCTCTTACTGAACGGGGGAGGCAACCTAGTGACAGAGGATGAGGAAAAGATTAAGTACCCAGTGCCTTTTTTACCTCTGTCTTCACGGGCAAGGTCAGCTCTTAGACTTCTGCACCAGGCAATACAGTTTAAGGAGTGAGCAGCCCTCAGTGGTGAAAGAACAGGTGAGGGACTTTTTAGAGAAGTTGGATATGTCCAAGTCCATGGGGCCAGATGCAATGCATCCCAAGGTGCTGAGGGAGCTGGCTGATGGGATTGCAGAGCCACTGGCCATTATCTTTGGGAACTCATGGTGACTGGGGAGGTTCCAGATGATTGGAGAAGGGCAAATATGGGGCCAGCCTTTTAAGAAAGGGAAGGAGGATCCAGGAAACTGCAGACCAGTCAGCCTCACCTCAGTCCCTGGAAAAATCAGGTCCTCAAGGAATCCATTTCTGCATACTTGGAGGAGAAGAAAGTGATCGAGAAGAGTCGGCATGGACCGATCAAGGGCAAGTCATGCCTGAGGGCAGGGACAAGATGCACTTGATTGCCTTCTATTATGAGATGACTGGCTCTATGGATGCAGGGAAAGCAGTGGATGTGATGTACCTTGACTTTAGCAAGCCTTTTGATAGGCCTCCCCCAGCATTCTTGCAAGCAAACTAAGAAAATATGGGTTGGATGAAGGGAATGTAAGGTAGATAGAAAAGCTGGATGGATTGTTGGACTTCATAGTTTCATACCTTCTAGGGTCGGAAGGGACCTGAGCAGATCATCTAGTCCGACCCCCTGCCATGGCAGGAAGAGCACTGGGGTCAAACAACCCCAGTAAGGTGGTCATCCAACCTCCTCTTAAAAACCCCCAGGGTGGGAGCCTGCACCACCTCACTTGGAAGCTGGTTCCAGACTCTAGCCGCCCTGACCGTGAAGTAGCGCCTCCTGATGTCCAACTTAAACCTTCCCTCCGCCAGCTTGTGACCATTGTTCCTGGTCACTCCTTGCGGCGCTCGGGGGAACAGGGACTCCCCCAGCGCCTGCTGATCCCCCCTAACCAGTTTATAACAGGCCACAAGATCCCCCCTCAGCCTTCTCTTTTGAAGGCTGAACAGGTTCAGGTCCCGCAACCTTTCCTCATAGGACCTACCCTGCTGTCCCTTGATCATACGAGTGGCCCTCCTCTGGACCCTCTCGATGCTGTCCACATCCCTCTTAAAGTGCGGCGCCCAGAACTGGACGCAGTACTCCAGCTGCGGCCTGACCAGTGCCGCATAGAGGGGGAGGATCACCTCCTTGGACCTGCTCGAGATGCATCTGTGGATGCACGACAAGGTGCAGTTGGCCTTCCTAGCCGCCTCCCCACATTGCCGACTCATGTTCATCTTGGAGTCAATAATGACTCCCAGATCCTTTTCCACCTCCGTGCTGACAAGAGGGGAGTTCCCCAGCCTGTATGTGTGGTGCCGATTGTTCCTCCCCAGGTGCATCACCTTACACTTGTCTGTGTTAAACCCCATCCTGTTCTCCTCCGCCCATCCTTGTAACCTATCTAGGTCCAACTGTAGCCTGTTGCTCCCCTCTATTGTGCCCACTTCCCCCCACATCTTAGTGTCATCAGCAAACTTGAACAGGGTGCTTTGCACCCCCTCATCCAAATCACTGATGAAGATATTGAACAGGGCGGGCCCAAGGACCGAGCCCTGTGGGACCCCACTTCCCACGTCCTTCCAGGTCGAGAAGGACCCATCCACTACCACCCTCTGGGTGCGACTCTCTAACCAGTTGGCGACCCACTGGACTGTATGGGTGTCTACGCCACAGTCCCCCAGCTTCCTAATGAGAATGGGGTGAGAGACAGTATCAAAAGCCTTCCTGAAGTCTAGGAAAACTATATCCACTGCCACCCCTGCATCCAATGATTTAGTGACCTGGTCGTAAAAGGCCACCAGGTTGGTCTGACAGGACCTGCCACTGATGATCTTAACAGGTAGTGATCAATAGCTTGTTCTAGTTGGGAGCCATCGTTAAGTGGAGTTCCATGGGTATGTCCTGGGACTGGTTTTGTTCAATATCCTCATTACAGTCTGGAAGATGGAATGGAGTGCACCCTCAGCAAGCTTGCAGATGACGACAAGCTGGGGGGAGTAGTAGATATGCTGTAGGAGTGACTTAAACAAATTAGAGGATTGGGCCAAAAGAAATCTCATGAAGTTCAACAAGGACACATGCAAAGTCCTGAACATAAGACTGAACAATCCCATGCACTGCTATAGGCTTGGGACCAACTGGCTAAGCAGCAGCTCTGTGGAAAAGGACCTGAGGGTTACAATAAGATTGATATAGTCAGCAGTGCGCTCTTGTTGTCAAGAAGGCTAACAGCATACTGGGCTGTGTTAGCAGGAGCGCTGCCAGCAGGTTGAGGGAAGTAATTGTTCTTCTCAATTTGGCACTGGTAAGGCAACATCTGGAGTACTATGTCCAGTTTTGGCCCACCTGCTACATAAAGGATGTGACCGTGTTGGAAAGAGCCCAGTGAAGGGCAGTGAAAATGGTTAGGGATACTGGGGCACATGACTTCTGAGGAGAGGCTGAGGGAACTGGGCTTATGTAGTCTGCAGAAGAGAAGACAGAGGGGATTTGATAGCAGTCTTTAGCTATCTGAAGCGGGGTCCAAAGAGGATGGAGACTGTTCTCAGTGGCAGATGACAGAACAAGAAGCAATGGTGTCAAGCTGCAGCAAGGGAAGTTTAGGTGAGTTATTAGGAAAAACATTCTCACTGGGAGGGTGGTGAAGCACTGGAACAGGTTACCTAGAGAGGTGGTGGACTCTCCTTCCTTGAAGGTTTTTAAGGCCTGGTTCAACAAAGCCCTGGCTGGAATGATCTAGTTGGGGGTGATTCTGCTTTGAGTTAGGGGGTTGGAGTAGATGATTTCCTAAGGTCCCTTCCAACCCAAATTTTCCATGATTCTGTGATTGAAAGCAGCCCAGCCTGAGATCAAGGATTCAGAAGACCAAAGACTGGGAGTGAGTTAAATCAGTTCAGGCTAGGATTAGGGACCCAGAGGGCTGGAGGAACTAAGCCAAGGCAGTGACACTGAAGCCATAGCAGACGTAAGCCAATAGGACTAAAGCATGGTAAAAGGGAGTGAAGCCCAAGAGGGGCAGAAGCCAGACCAGGGCCAGGGGCTCAGCAGGCTCAGTGGGTTGGTTAACAGATGGGGCCAGTAGGCCTGGTGGGTGAACTTGAAGCAACATCTGTGATGCATAAGTATGGCTAGAGGGGAGGATGGAGGCTTTGAATAGCTGGTAAGTTAAATGAGGCACTGACAGGGCCAGGAATTGCAGCTTAATGCCTTAGGGCCAGGGTCACCTGGGTATGGGAGGGGCCTGCTGGCCAAAACGAACTACGGGTTGCTCTGTGACCCTGGAGCAGCTTCCCTTTAATGCTAAAATATCAAGGAGTGGCAGGCAAGGAAAATGGGAGGATACCCTGAGGAGACCAGAGTGGGCCAGGAGTTGCATGGTCCCCAAGGGGCATCGCAGCTGCCCCTGGGGCCAGGTCCTGTCAGTCTTATTGTGGGGTGTGTGGTATGTGAGAAAAGTGGTTGATTTCTTCCGAACAAATTGTACATACTTTGAGAACTTTAATTTTATGTTGTATGTCCAAATTCAGTGTAAATAGTGCAGACTATTTTTGTTTGCACATTTTAGTCTGATTGGCTATACTGAACTGAATGGGCTGATGTTACCTAAATGTAGACAACGTTTTTAATAAGCTAGAAATGCATGAGAAGGGTCAGCATTGACTTTTCCTCATCTGTCAAACCTAGTCTTAAATGCCTGTATTTTGAAACAAAGGTTTTATGAAGTTGAATATCTTTCTGTACACATTACACTCTCTTTACATCTTCTGAAAGGTGAATAGTTCAGGTGTCCAGCATCCCAATGAAGATCTTCATGATCAAAGCAGAGACTGGTTCTGTATGTTTTGAGGAATGGGATTTTTTGATATGGAATTCATCTTTTAGCAAAGAACAGTTTCATTTTTTTTTGTCATCTAGCTGACAGGATATTGATTTAGGATTTTTGAGATTGATCCATTTTTACTGTAAAATCGCAAAATGGTGTAGATTGAGTCAAATAGATGTCTCTGCCATTGGTGAGTATCTGTTGTCAAGTGCTGATGTAGCTTTGAATGTCACTATCTGGTCACAGCTGATGTTAATTGGCTCTCCAGTCTTTTTCAGGGCAGTCTCAATTATGTTATCAGACGCAAGCTTGTTGCTTATGGAAGATTTAGGTGTGTGCTTTTGTGCCATTACACTGAGATTGCAGTATGCTTTGACACATGACTGTTAGGCCAGAGCAGTAAGGTGTCAGCTGTGTAGGCAGAATCTGCAGCTCTGATATAGCAGAAGGTAAACTAGATGAATTTTTGCCTGCTTGCTGTTCTGATCTTTACACTGGCTAGCTCTTGAATAGGTTTCATTTAGCATACAAAGGCCTAAAAAATCTGAGTCATCTGATCCTCTTTTGTAATAATGCCAAGCTCCTACATTATTTTAGATGCCTTCAGTTACAGATAGCTTGACTGAAAGTGAATTGGTAAACTTGGCTCATACAAACAGGAAAAGAGTTTCTGAATTGCACTTTTTCTAGAAACGTATTTCATAACTTATTCTTATGTGATACTTGACATTAATTCTGCCATGTTCTTTCCATGTTTTTTACAGTGACTGGAACAAGACTGTGTGAACATTCCATGTTGGAGAGGGAAACCAAATTGAATGCTCCAAGCTGGAACATAGGATCTACAGTCTTTATGGCCCAAGTCCTAGGCTTTGTGTACTAAAGTGAAGAAATATTGCAACACCATGAGGCTGAACATCTAACACTAGCTGTCTCCTGCTAGCTCTCCTGCTGAATCAGTGTGTAATTATAAATACATGTATTGATACATGTATATGGCTGTTTTTATTTGCTTGCTTTAGAGGAGAGAAATACAACTTTGAATCACCAACTTGGGTTACTGCTTTAATTTTAAATGATTTGCAAAGCTTTTGTTTGCTGTGGACCTTTATAAGATAACTCACACAGTTCCTGTTTTTGTGCATGTCTAAAAAGCACAAAAGACAAATGCACATATAGCATCCTGTATGTGCTTTATATGCACAAAAACCTGTTTGTGTTATTTTTACAGGTTTGCAGTACAATCTAGGTGACTCTTTTGGCAGGTTTTGTTTTGCTTTGTATAATCATAGTTTATTGCTGCTTGTTTCTAAAATGAATAATCTTGTTATGTAAAATGTCAGTTATTAACTGAGGGCTGTCAATATCCTTATGACTCTGCCTTTTCTATTGTCTTACTCCTATGAAGACCTTTGGCTCTGAGGGAGGAAGAGTGTGAAAAGCTTTATTTTTTCCAGATATCTTTATATTTCTATTGTATTTTTTAGTTATGTAATATGTGCTACAGAATTTTTGTTATTGAACATGATCCAGAAATTTCTAGTTAGATTCTGTATGAACGGGCAAAAGACTGACTGAAAAGCTGCAATGGTGGTCTATCAATGCTACATTTGGGCTGCTTTTTGCATGATATCCAGGGTTTTCCTGAAACAGTGGAAGGTACACTGTAATATTTATTGAAGCAAATTGGACTACATAGGGCAACATTCCAAGTCTGGAAGTAAAAGCAAATATATTATTTCATGGACCTGCACGTCTTGTTTCTCATCTTAATAAAGCCATGCTCTGAGGTTCACACAGAAAATATGAGTTGCGTTAATGTTTACCTCGTGATGAAAAAATGTAAGAGCTATGAAAATCCATATTTTCTAAATGAAAAGTTCCCCTTAGTTGCTGTGAGAAATGTAAATATCAAATATTTTGCCTGTCTCTGGAAGTAGTCACTAAGAGATGTTTGTGGCAAAGGCTGGTACTTGCTCTAGTAGACATCTTATTTGATGTCCTATAGTTGGAGACTATTCCAAGGTATTCTTGGGCATTTCACTTTTGTATCAAAATGTGAGATTCAGAGATATATTTTTTTTCCAAAAGAGTTTTATTTGGTATAGTATAGCAGGTGCCTGAAGATTAAATTAAACTTATTGTTATATAAAATGGATTCAATTAAATTTGGCTGTAATTAAATAAGATACCTGCACAGTGTTAAAAATGGATTACTTCCTTGTATGTTAGTCTTTATTTTGCATAAAACATTAGAAATACATTCATAATACAATTAAACATACACATAGATTTCATGCTCCATCATTTTTCTCCTTTTTTATTTGCCTTTTTAAATGATGTGCATAGAATATGCCTTATTACAGAATAATTCTATTCTTAATTTGATTATATAGAAAAGTGCCTATATGGTAATGTTAGCAAGGCAAATAAGATGGAAAAACTGTACCTTTACTACATAACCAGTGAGCATTTTGTATAATATTTAAAAAATGTCTTACCTCAAATGTGCTTCATCTTTACAATCAGTTGAACAATGATTCATCTGCCATAGCCACTGATGGGAACTTTACAGAAAATAATTATATATCCCAAATGTATAGATGTTTAACTCCTTTCAATTGAACACAGACAAGTAATTTTCTTAATTTAATTGGATAGCTTTATTTTACAATTGTATGGAAAGTTTACAAAGCAGTATATAAATCTTAATATCATTAGTTGCATTTGCACTAAATGTGATGTACTTTTGCAATTTATTCTGTAAATAAAAATACACTACAGATACTATTTGTAAAGAATACCTTTTACTTTAAGATAAAATCACATGTACGTCACCTGCAGCAAGCCCTGCCCAGTAAGAGTTATGAGAGACTTATAAGAAAGTATTCAGTGTTGTAAGGTCAAGGTCACAAGTATTGACCCTTTAAAAGTGTGTAAAGTATAGGCTTCTCAGGCTATTCAGATGTATAGCCATTTATACTCTTTCTTCCAGAAAAGATCTCCTGCCTTTCCTCACTTTCGGGACTTTCTTAAATCTTTTTAATCCCACTTCCAACACTTGGGCTCTTTTTTCTTCCAACTTTATGTAACTATCTTATTCCTACAGTTTCAGTTCCATTTTCAAGCGGGGGTCCCTGCCCTTGTAACTTTTTGTTTCAAAGGTATATCAATTCAGTTTAATTCAGCCCAATCAGAGAAAAAAAAAGCAGCAATTTTTACATGGGATTGTACCCCAGTTTCTGTTGTCTTAACCAAATTAGATGACTGTGGAATACCTAACATGGTAGTTTGATCCTATATCCCCAGTAAAAACTGGAAATTGTTCAGTGTCTTATCTAAATCATTTTCTCAGACTGAACAATCTGACACACTTTCAATATAAAAGATCCCATTGGCACTTAGAGGGCAAACTTTTTTTACCTAATTGTGCTGATATTTCTTTAAACTAATCAGGTTGTCCACTATTTGTTTTTGTTCACAGTTGTACTGTTGAATTACCACTGTTCATCTACAGACTGAAAACATGAATCACATTTTGAGTACCTTGAGTGTGTAGAGTGTAACTGTTTGTTCTGATAGCTTTATGATCCTAATGATAAGTTTTAAAAATTAAAAGTTGGCTCTTCCATGTTACAATCACAAATTTTAAAACCAGTATTTAAAAGTGAAAAGTATTAAAGGTATTATGATCAAAAGTTCTGGTTTGTAGTTATTCTTAATGTTCAGTGCTTTGAAGAAGAGGTAAAATGTTATAAACTGCATCTTAATATAACAACTAAGGTTTCTAGATTGTCATGGTTAGATCCAAGAAATTAATGGTTTTTGTAGGACAGTAGCTTAAAAAAACTTTTTAGAAGTGAAGTGGCTAATTTTTTATATGTAGAAGATTACATACTGAAGAATGTACTTTTGCATCATTTAGAGCAAGGGTGGTTAACCTGCGGCTCCAGAGCCACATGCAGCTCTTCAGAAGTTAACATGCGTCTCCTTGAATTTTTGCACAACCCCACAGTGACCAATTTCCATAGCCATTATGTCACGTGCTTGTGCAAAGATTCAAGGAGATGCATATTAACTGTTAAAGATCTGCACATGGCTCTGGAGCCACAGGTTAACCACTAGGGGTGTGTGAAGTGGGCTGTATTTGATTTGGATCCGTCCCAATTCGGGGGACAGTGATTCAATTCGTTGATTCAGATCACTGTCCCGATTCAGATTCGGATTTGGCCAAATCGAAGATCTGGTGTGGATTTGGAGAATCGGCGATTCAGCTGTAGACACGGCTTTAAATGTTTTTTTCTACATACCTTGAGGTACCAGGTGTGACTCGTGAATGCTGAGAAGGTGGGGCGGATGGGGCATCCCACAGGAGCACAGGGGTTCCCCCCCCCCCCACCGTGTGCTCGGTGGCAGACCCAGAACTGGACCGGAAGTACTTCTGGTTCACTTCCAGGTCTGCTGCAGAGTGCTGGGGACTCCACCATGCTCCTGTGGGACACTTTATGTACCCCACCATCTCAGTGTTCACAAGCCTCCTGGTACCTTGAGGTATGTAGAAAAAACATTTAAAGCGGTGACTCTGTCTGAATCATCAAATCTCCACCGAATTGAATCAGAATCCTCTGAATCAATTCGGAGAGATTAAGGGGTCTCCTGGTTGATTCGATTTGGCGGCAGAATCTCCAAATCCAGTAACAGAAGCTTCGCACAATCCTGTTAGCCACCTTTGCTTGAAAGGGAAATCTGGAATGCTTCTGGCCAAGTTATAATGCTGTTGCTTTATAAAATGCACACTTACCTCTTTGCAGGAGCATGCATGTGTTTTAATAAAGATTAATTAAAGTTACAAGTATCTATTAAAAGATTAAATATTTAATATGTAAAACCTCCTTTTAAAGGCAGTTGGTGCCAGTTGGGAAGATGTTTAAAATGATATGCAACCTGTCATTAAAAGCAATAGAGAAAGAACCCAACTTAGTATGTAATTATAAATGCATGTATTTATACTTGGTTTCAAAATGACTCTTGATAAATTTATAAAAGTGAAATAATCTGTTGTCCTAGGTTACTGCAGGCAATCTCAGTTCTATATACTGTATTCTTCTTCTGCAGGTGAGCTCCTATATAAAACAGTACTTTATTTGCAGCATTTGCTACAACAAATCCATAAAATGGACAGTAAAATTGTATATAATAGCAAAATATTATTGTATGTTTTAGCAAAACTTTAAATTTTATAGAGCACTATAATGTAATTTTGTCTATTGTATTCTAAAATATTCTTTCTGTACATTTAAGAAATTAATCTTCACAGTAAATTGAATGTCTCACGAATTAAACATAAAATTAATTATATCAAGAAGATTCATGACTAGGGCCTGTGGGGGAGAAATTTGGACCCAGTACATCCTGGTAGGGCCCCTCTTCCATTTTGGAAATAAGAACTAGGGCTCTGATTTGGGGGAGCCTGGTACAACTGTACTTCCATCGTCCCCCTTTCATAAGCCCTACGTTAAGGCACCAGTTGCAGAATTGTAGTCTGTTCACTTTTCTCTCCCTTGTATGAGACAATACTGGGTGCATCTACACGAGATGCTACTGCACGTTTATTTAGTACTTGTATTAGCAAGTACTAAATAAATGCACGGTAATTAGAGGTTACTGTGCAGTAGCACTGGCAAACAGCTTCCTGCCCTTTGGGCGGGGGGCTGGACTCAATGATCTTCCAAGGTCCCTTCCAGCCCTAATGTCTATGAAATCTATGAAATTCCATTTTTGCAAGTTAGACTAAGCTACGTAGATTGAACCAATAAGCAAGTGAACAGACATTCACTTTTGATTCTGGAAATGCATCCACATGCCTACAGCGGTCCAGACAAGAAGCCAGGAGGTGCTAGAGCACACATCTCTGCTTGGCTGGAGCATACAGCTTGGGCCAAAGCTAGCCCTCCCACCCTGCTAGGAGGTGTTTGCAGGGCAGGTGCAAAGCATTCTGGGATGCTGGGGGACTGAGTTAACTTGAATCTAGAGGGGATCTGGGACAAGTTCAGTAAACTGATTTAACCTAAATTGGTTAAGTCTGATGGTATATCCATCCACGTTTATCTTAAACTGGTTTCATCCATTTTGAAAGCAGTTATGTGCACTGAACTTCTGTTGTTACAGATCTGAACCAGTTTCTGATCACTTATACCGGTTTATGTGTAATTTTTGTTCCTAGCCCTAAAGCACTCTGTATATTGTATGATAAATGTCTTTGGGATGAGGTGAGCACCTATTGTGTGTGGACAAGTACAGATTAATTGCATTGTCTTTGTTTTATAGAAAAACAGATAAAACTTATAACCAGGATCACAATATTCCAACATACAAGCATATGCCCCTCATTCTAATTGACTAATAGTTCCTACTATTATGAAGTTAGTCCTTATAACTCCATGTCTGTCTACTTTTAATGCTTCCATGTCTGGTAACTGAAGAAACTATATTTTTGTTGTCCGTATGACAAAAGAAACACCAGTTGCATTGGTATTGGTGTGAAATAGCTGTGTCATCCCAGTCCAGAAGTGACTGGTGTTCGAGGAGGAGGACAGGGGTTACCTCACTGGGTGGAATAGGATGCAGGCAAGGAAGCAACTCCTGGTTTAATCCTACATGTCGTCTTCCCCCCCACCCCCACACACAGTTTTGGTTTCCTAGATTTCTGTTTTGGCATGGATTGGGGGACAACGCTAAGTGCTGCTTCCTTGTCTTGCAGTAGTCCTTGTTCCTTTTTAAGGGTCTGGTAAACTTGCAGCAGTGGTAAATTTGAGTGAACATGGCAACAAAAAAGGAGCAGTCAAGGATATTGATTGCCAATAGTTTCAGCCTGTTTTAGATGTAGACAATGGACCTTTTTAATGCATGTACTGCTGAGCAGTTTCCTTGGAGAAAGTTCTATAAAGAAACCTTTTCCCCCTACCCTCCACCCTTTAAAAAACAAAACAAAAAAAAACAAGA